CTTTTGGATTTGGCGAGCCGTCCCCACGTGGACCGGCCTTTTTGCGTAGTAGATCTTTTAAGTTTTAGTCTGGCCTTCCGCCAACCGCTCGAGGCCAGTGGTATATTGTGTGCGTCTTAGAATAGTTTGCGTCCTTTTTGGAAAACCCCCGTGCCCTCTCCCTTCCCTTTTCCCTCTTTGTGTTCTGATACCGAGGTAATTTATACAGTAGCCATTTTGCGTTCGGGAACCTTCCTCCCTGAGACCCCCTCACTTCTTCCCCTGCTAGCCGTGCCATTTCGAGTTTGTGTAAATATTCGAGGACCTTCTGAGGTCACTCGACGGTGCTACGCCGAACAAGTAGCTGGCGCCCAGTTGTTGTTTTCTCCCTCCTGTCCCTCCTGCCCCCTCGCCAATACCGTGCTCCCCCGTTCCCTGAATCCCCTCGCCCACTAGCCCGTTTAAAGGTCCGTAACGACACCGCGTGCTCCTGCGTGAGCCCGTGTGTTATTGCTTAGTTTTGTGTGTAATCGAGCGATATAGTTTTCTAGGGTATTGAGTTTTGATTTCTGTTCGTCTTTATTTTTCTTTGTATTGGCATCCACTTTATCAATTATATTCTTTTCTATTTTCCCACGTGTCCCCCCCTTTCTTTTGCGGCCCCCTCACCCAGTAGTTTTTGAGATAGCTGTATTTGCGAGACCCTGGGCCACCCTACGAGGTCCAGTGCGTCACAATATATATGTATACGTTAAGGATAAATGATATAAAGCAAGAAAGAGGTTTGCGTAAGCACGTATCATGTAAAAATATTTATACTATAAAGATGTCCAAAGAGGACAGTAAGTCAGGATGTATGCTAATACATGGATGTCGCGAAACTCTTGGCAAGATGCAATGTATAAAGCACGAAGAAGCCAGGGTAATACGAAACAATGTCGAAAGTCGAAAGATTCGTATAAATATAACTGTATCTTGCTATGCTGTAACGGTGGTAAACGTCACGGTACGCTGAGAAACTTTTATACAGGACGCGAAAATACCTAACTAATGCCCTTGACGTATAGCCATTTTTCGTGGATACCGTTCCTCGTCTTTCTGAGGTATGGAGCAAACTTTTCGACTGTGGCGGCAACGACGGCCGAGAAGGACAAACACTTGTCTTTGAGTAATCGCAAAGGGAATTCTTGTTTGGGAAGAGCGAGTGACGGTGAGCGGAAGGAATAAAAGTGACCAATGGCTTCTTCCACTTACTTGAGCAAATAACAAAATTATTAGGAATAACGGCTAAATGACGATATCGGGCAATTTTTTTCACGATCAAATTCTCCGACGTCTTTTTATTATTGTTATAATGTATTTTCATTATGTCCTATTGTTTTTGGTGGTAGGTTTCGAGTGAATTTCATATTTTAAATATTCATTTAATTTGAATACCAGGTCTAATGTTACGCGAGAGAATATATGCTTAGAAAAAAAGATGGGCTGAATTGATATACAGTAATATCCGTGCAATTTATTTGAAACGTTTTTTTAAATCTGCTATCGAGTGAATGCAAAAGTGTTGAAATATTTTCAATGGAATTACTTATCAGATATAATAGAAAAAAAATGTATTGCCAAAATAATGTAAAAATATGATTGCGTTTTTATGCTACGTGACACTATAAGGTAGAGGAAAAAAAGTTTTCTTGTCGGAGGTATATTTCGCGTGGCGCAGCGCGGTTAAAGTGCACATGAAAACGTTTCTCATAAAGTCGCGAACTGATGCAAAATCGTAAGGTATATTAAAACGAGAAGCATAGCGTTGGTGAATATCTAAAATGAGAAGAGTTTTCCAGAAATAGATACGAATGACAGACACGCGATATGATCAAACGTGAATGCGTGTTCGCAGTAAGCACGAGATACGTTAAATAAAAGGTGAATTTTCAGAATGCGAAGACCGATGACAGTAGCGATAAGAAGTAGCAAAACAAAATACGAAGGGAAATAATAAGAATCTCAATTGGTCATAACAAAGTAAAACTGCTTTGCATATATTTAAAAATAAAAAAAAATAAACACTTTTAATTTATTTAATCGCTATATGTAGGATTGAGTATCAAAGAAAAAAACAGACTTTGGGCAGGGGCTAAAAAATTGGGGTGACATGAAAAAAAAACGCGATTAAATTCGATGCATTACCAGTGTTCCATGAGTGAACTTGTGATAAATACTTCAATGAAAGTCTCTCTGAACCAGGGAAAAAATGATGAAAATGAGGAAATTGAGATGGTAAGCATCACTGGGGAAATTTCTCACGAGAATGTATTTCGGGTTTATTTATATGCATGCGAGGGCGAGGATCAAGCGTGACACGAAAGGATTTCGCTATAATATCCTTCTAATTATCCCGTCATAATCAACTGTCCTTCGATCCTCTTTGACAATCCAAAAAGCGTTATTCATCCTTCCCCAGGGAATTTGCTTACACCCAAGTCGAGGTCTAAATTTTCCACATCGGTAGAGTGGAGCATTCCCCAAAAAATACTTTGACGTACTCATACAGTATACATTACATATTTCCCCACACGTATACACGGTGGCGTTTTATTACGTCAATGTAAATGAAATATTCATCGTCGTAAATATTCGTAAATGTAAATAAAATATTTATGTAAAATATAAAAACCGACAGCAGTCATGACTCACCATTCGCGAGTAGCCTTTGCTACAAGGGTGACCTGTCGATTCGATTGCGTAGAGGGTTTGTCAGAGCTGATGAGTCTGTGACACACGAATCGTGTCTCATTTCGATCACGTATCGTCAGATTTCGGGGTGAAACCAGAAGACGAGCCACGGAGTCCAGGGCGACCCACGTTCCAGCAGACACCATCCAGTGGGGATATTCACAACCCTCCGATGCGGGTTCTGAAATGTTAAAAAAAAAGTTCGTGTCTGATAAGCTAATAAAATTAATGCTAACATCGAATTCAATTTTCATTTAAGATCGATGGAGATAAACGTGGAAACTATCGAGGGGATGAGAGTATGATATGGATATCGAAGAAAATCGAGCCCGGCGTATCCGTTGGGGTTGAGTTGGAAAATAGCTAAGTACCAGGCATGAGGATGCTGTTTGCATCTCAGGAAAAGTAGAGTTGAGCGAGATGCCAGGCTAATCTGCGTCGGTGGAAAGTTTAACTAGAAATGTAGAATAAGAGTTAGCGGATGAGAGTAGATATACAGGTCTGTAGCTTTGGATATAGGTGTGCCGTCGAGAAAGGGTGGGTTAACGAAACATACCAACGAAACCAACCCCTGCAACGACGTGGCTGTGCTGTAGTTAGGTATGGAATTTTTAAGCTGCTTAGCATTCAAGCTTAATTTATTGCAGCGCACCTACGATCTGAAATATTAACGCGCTATTTATCACGCTAGATAACCGCTCCGGAAACATAAATTATCCTATTATTTCTCGGCGCTATTATAATTTCCTTCTGTAACGGACGTACGAATGGCTCTCGTGAGTTTCTACGATTTTACTTGACTAGCTAACGTCTCTGCATTTCGCCAATTAGATTTCAGCTTTGATAATCTTCCAGGTAAATCTGGCACAAAATTATTACGAAAAAAATCACAATTGCTATATTCAAAAGTTTTATCAAAATCGACATTGCACGTTACGTTTCTAAAAAAAAGTAGCGAAGATTTTGGAAAGACAACAAATTTTTTAATTAACATAAAACCTGTTTATACTTTCAAATGATCGCGCTGACCTTCGACCGTATTAATCGCGTCTAGACGTTTCTCAAAATAGTTGAATTCTAGCTGTTAAAGATTTTCGAAAAAAAAAGTTTTAGCTATTCTGACGCACGCTAGCGAACGATCCGGTAATGTCTGAGCGAAAAACTAAAATAATCCCCTGGGTTAAATCTCTCGTTCAGCAGCGTGATATTTAGCGAGTAAAACAAAAAAAAATAACCAGAGGGTGGTTCTCCCAAATGAAAGATTCATGTACAGTCACGAGTCGTATCGCGGAAGGAGGGTCG